AAAAATAACTATTGTATAGATAGGGGAAAAGTTTAGATGATTTAATATTCTGTACAAAGCTCTTGGGAAATAAAAGACTCTGGAACACAAGTTATTTGAGGATAAAAATATTGACTAATTTGAACATTCAACAACTTCTCAAAAAGGCATTTTAACATCGCCAAATCCATATAATTGGATTTGGGGGGGGGTTTTGGTGGGGGAAGGGTATTGGTGGTACTGGGGAATTAAGACTCAGACAAGCTCTTTACCATTTGAGCCATGCCACAAAGTATTTGTTGCTTTATTTTTCTCAAGATACCTGATCTATTTATTGTACAACCACATGTTTAAGTCATCTTGAAAGATAACTCCCTCCCCACCATATGGACTTGCTGTCCTTATACCATAAAGATTAAGATGCTTAGTGGCCAAGAGTATTGTATGTATATATTTGGGGGGGGGTCAGTCATGGGGTTTGAACTCTGGGCCTGGTCACTGTCCCTCAGCTATTCAGCTCACAGCAAGCACTCTACCACTTGAGCCACAGCACCACTTCCAGTTTTCTGGTGGTTTACTGGAGCTAAGAGTCTCACACAGACTTTCCTGCCTGGGCTGCTTTGAACTATGATCCTCAGATCTCAGCCTCCTGCGTAGCTAGGATTACAGTTGTAAGCCACTGGCATTTGGCTATATGTATATCTTTAAGTCAATCTTTAGGAGATGAGAATCCCAACATTGTTGTTTTGGGCTTGGTAGGAAACTTATTCATGACACATTTCAAGAAAAATATCTTAGTCTGACAACTAATTTTATTTTGTAGCTTAATGTAAAACATTTATATAGTCTCATTAAGTGCAAATAATTGATTTTCTGGAATATGCCATTAATTTGACCACTTTATGAAATATATTTGTCATGTGTATATATATATATATATATACTTTTGTGTGTGTGTGTGCGCGCGCGTGCCAGTACTGGGGCTTGAACTCAGGGCCTGGGTGCTGTCCCTGATCTTTTGTTTGCTCAAGGCTATACCACTTGAGCCAGTTCCACTTCTGCTTTTGTGGTGACTAATGGAGATACAAGTCTCATGTACTTTCCTGCCCGGAGTGGCTTCAAGGCATGACCCTCAGATCTCAACCTCCTGAGTAGCAAGGATTATAAGTGTGAGCCACCAGTGCCCATCTATGTATATCTTTTTTGAACTCTGGGCCTGGGCTTGGGCACTATCCCTCAGCTCTTCAGCTCAAGGCAAGAGCTCTACCACTTGAGCCACAGCACCACTTCCAGTTTTCTGGTGGCTAATTCGAGATAAAAGTCTTACAGACTTTCCTGCATGGGCTGGCTTTGAACTGTGATCCTCAGATCTCAGCCTCCTTAGTAGGTAGGATTACAGGCATGAGCCCCGGGCACCCAGTATATGCATATGTATGTATGTATGTATATATTATCAGTCATGGAGGCTGAACTGGGCACTGTCCCTCAGCTCTTCAGCTCAAGGCTAGGGCCCTATCACTTGAGACATAGTACCTCTTCTGTCTTTTTTTTCTGCTTATGAGGTGCATGTGAGACAAGCACTCTACCACTGAGCCAACTTCTCAGCTCCATATGTATACTTTTAATCAAAATCTTAACTATGATAAAGGTCACAAAGAATATAAAAATATTAGCCTAGGTTTCAGTTAACTATTAATTTTCTGTATCTCGAGGTAAAGCTAATCAATTCTCTATTCTGCCTAAATTCAATTTATTAAAAGAATCTTCTGAAATTTACAGACTAGATCATCCATTATTGATCTAAGGAAATAATGGCTGTAAAATTTCAGTAGACCAAAGAAAGTGATCTACATGTTTAAAATGTAGATTCCCCAACTATATATAAATCATCAATTCAGTGGGATTGAAATAATGTCCAGTATTCTACATTTTACAAGTCCTCATGGAGAAGATACCATGAGTAAACTCTTGGAGAAAGTGAAGGGTGAGATGTGAAATATTTTAGAAAACATCATTCAAAGGATTTCACAGGCAATCCAGTTTCAAGTCTCAGATTAGATTAAGCTATCTATATGATAAAACAGTCCACTAGGAGAACCCTAGAGTTTTGTTCTAAAAACCCCTAGTGCTCAAAGCTTCCAATTCTGGTTGGGAAAATCAGAGCATTCTTAAGTTTTCATGTAGATCCTTCAAAACATACATGTTATAACCTTCTGCCTATGCAAAAACCACCATCTTTTGGTAGAATTTTTCTTTCTGCTTATCAAACCAAACACTTTCTGAAGATATCCTTGGTCTCTTGTGTAAAGTGCAACTCTCAAGATGGCCAGAGATCTCAAATTCCCACTCTGAATCCACCCTAGTGCAACATTACATTAAATATCGCTGCTGTCACTGAGGATCCTGTATCCTCCATTGAATTATGGTACTACCTAGAAAGATAGTAAACCAAGGCAGGACAGCAAGCTAGCAACTGGGTTCTGCTTAACTAGAGTTTGCTAGTGCTCAGTACTGTGGAGGTAGCAATGGGATCACAGTGAACTGTTTTCTGAAAACAACTCTTTTATTTCCTTTGTGATATTTTTCCATAAAACGCTGACGATAAAGTGATAAGCCTGAAACACTTTTTCAAACTAAGAGTAAAAATTATTTTCTGGATCCCTGTACCTATTACAGCACCATCATTAAGGTTGGTGTCAAACACTTATTGAGCACATACCAATATACTCTTCTAGAAATGTAAGAGAATTTTTAAAAGATGGCATAGTGCTGGCTCTTGAGAAGACTTGGTTATTGGGAAGATAAGCATCAAAAGACAAACTAATCGTATCACAAGAGATCACAAAAAGGAGAGAGGCCAGGCACTTGTGGTTCATACCTATAGTCCTAGCTAGTTGGGAGGCTGAGATCTGAGGATCATGGTTCAAAGCTAGCCTGGACAGGAAACTGTATGCGACTCTTATCTCCAATAAACTACTCAAAAAAGCCAAAGTAGCACTGTGGCTCAAGTGGTAGAGCACTCACTTTGAGAAAAAGAAGCTCCAGAGTTCAAGCCCCAGGACCAGCAAATAAAAGAAGGAAGAGGAAGAAGAAGAGGAAGAGGAAGAAGATTAAAAAGAAGAAAGAAAGAAAAGGAAGAAAAAAAGAAGAAAGAGAAAGAAGGAAAAGAAAGAGAAAAAGAGAAAGGAAAAGAAAGAAAGAAGGAAAAACAAAGAGAAAAGAGAAAGAAAGAAAGAGAGAAAGAGGAGAAGGAGGAGGAGGGAAGGAAGGAAGGGAGGGAGGGAGGAAGGAGAGGAGCTAGAAGAGCAGGCATAAAGCAAGAGTGAGCCTGGGGAATGTTTATGGCTTACTGGGAAACAGTAAAAGCTCAGTGTAGTTGAGGGAAGTTACTTTACCCTGAAGAGCAAAGTATGAGATAATAATCAGAAAGAAGACTAGGAGCCATCCTGAAGAGAGATTCTGAAATGTCAAGCCAAGAAATTTGCAGTTTGAAGGTAGACAAGAGTAAAGTATCACATAAAGCCATGTTGAGCAATATGAACACTGGAGACATGTAGGATAGGTAGGGGCGGTGGTGCTGAAGACAGCTACATCAGCTCCCAAGTATCAGGAGATGGGGACCAAGAAGAGCAGCATTTATTATTATGAATTTCATGCATCAGTTTCATAAAATACAACTGTTTTGCTATAGATATAGCATCAAGATTTTTCAGAGGATGCTAGCAAAATGAAATTTGAAAGGGGTTTGATTTTTTGTTTAACCAGGAATGTAATGTTTTAATGACAAAAAGGTTATGAAAGGCAAAAGTAATCTTATTTATATTTTTTATTTAAGAGGCTGTGTATTGTTTCACTTTCTATGTCCAATTGATTTGGCAATATACTTTCAAGCAGTGCCCCAAAACAACTTTGGCCTAAAAGTAGAGAAAAATCTAATTTCAAATGGTTCTATTAATTTGAAGGAAATGAAAACTTTGGAGTAAATGCTGCAAACTTGAAAAACATGTCAGTATATCCTTCTATATTTTCTATCCCCATTGTTCAAAAGCTAAAGGGAGAGTGCCTAATCAATCATCAAATCAGGAGAGGATTATTGGTAAGTTCAATTTTATCAAACTGTGTTCACAGAGGAGCAGTGTACAAATAAGACAATTTGAGTACTAGACTCTGAAGGGATGGAAGCCAAATACCTTAATTTTGACAACTTCTTGAGAATGGGGACCAGAATGGGAACCTATTTTTTTTTTCTATCATGACATATTTACATAGAAACAGAACACAGAGCCAAGCAGGCTTTGTTGAACTATTCTTTTATATGATCTGTAAAAGCTTTTTTTCGTTAAAGCTTCTGGGAAAAAAATTGAAGTAATGTATCCCTGAGGTTTTTATTCTGACCTGGTGTTTGTAGCAAGCTGTGTGCGTGTGTGTGTGTGTGTGTGTGTGTGTGTGCCATTAAAGCACTCGTACTGTTGCCACCTTCTGTCCAGACTGAAGAAAACCTTTCTAAGATGATGTGACTAAATCAATGCCTTTTTTCCTAAACACTCTGATTCTAAGTGTGTGTGACAGGATTACTAGTGGATCTAGACTGCTGTGTACTCAGCACAGCCCACACAGGGAATAAATGTTTCTTTGTCTCTACTCCCATTTCTACAGCAATCATCACTCCCTTTCTTGATTTATTTCTATAACCAGACAACAAGCTTGGATCTTCTGTATCATGATTTAACCTCAAAGTCCCTGTAACTCAGATTTTGGTATGCAAAATATAATTGGGTTAATCCCTTGCTATAAGGGATGTTATATATTGCCTTGAGGATTTTTGAATGGCATGTGGTAAGACACAACTGGTCCCTGACATAATTGTATTAGTCTAAGCAATGGGGGATGGATTAATTAGCTACATGTCTAGGAAGCGCAAAAGTCACATCCATGTTAAATATGAACATACTCAAGATGATGCTAGGGGAATGACTTCAAGGTGCAAGATTTTGTTCTTACAAACATTTATTTTCCTCCAAATTTATTGTGTTTTTCTGTAATGATGTGAAAAGTCTTCAGTTCCCTTTTCCCAAGTGTTGAGGTTCAAAAAGCCAGATCTTAACCATTGACTAATCTTCATCTCTTCATGTCTTGTATGTTGATTTTAGTTTCATGTGTAAGTATTTATATTTGTTTTCCTTGGGGATTTATACATTGATATATATATATATATATTCCTACACAGATATATACACTTTTTTTAATCCTCATCTTACCACTTGACAATACACTTTTAAATGTTTTACACAGCTGTTCCTTGGTCAAGGTCATTTGCAAGAGCAAGTCGGTTTCTGAAGAAATCTTGTTTGGTGGGTGAAGGATCCATTGAGGGATTCTCATTAGTTTTTTCCCTGTATTCTGATCCACTGGACCTAAAATCTCAGCACACAGATAAAGTACAGGTTGATTTGGTTTTAATTGTTGTCAAATATTTTATCTATCCAAATTGTTTTGCATTTGTAAAACAGTTGTCTCCTAGATTTGGAATAAATCTTACTCTCCTGAATTTTAAGACTCAGGATATGTGTTGGCTAGGATTTGCAGCGAACATAAAGATAATATCTTTCTAATGCCTCCTCAGCACAGTTGTGACAACTGTGTATGTCCGTGTAAGATACCATGTAATTACACTGTAGTAAGGGGAGAAAAGCTCAGAAAATGCACAATATCCTATTTTTGGTTCAATGAAGTAACTATACCACAAAAATACCAAAGCCCTAAAATTAAAATGGATATAACTCCACCAAGGCTATTAAGGGCCTTAGCTGAATCTAGGCATTGCATTACAAACTCTTGCTTTTGCTTGTTTTCATTTTTAAATGAAAGATTTATTGAAGCCAACCACATAAATATGCTACATTTGTTAGAATGCAGAAATCAGTACAGTAATCAGATTTAGGAGATACTATAATCTCAGCTACCGCAAAGGAAACCAAGGCCAACTCAAATCAGTCCATCTGAGTCCCCAGTCGAGGATCATTCTTCCTTTAGATCTTGGTTAAGCCAGTGGGTAATCCATTCCAGCTCTGCACCTTCTCCAGTTTGTTCATGTCAGAAGTCCCTGGAGGGAGGAGGCTTTCTGGAAATAACCTCTGGTAAGCTGGACTGGGGCCCTTTCACTAATGTAAACTCTGAGATAGGATGGGTAAAATTAGCCCTGTAGCCAAGAACCAGGATCAAAAGATTTCATGCGGGATGTATGAAAGTGATGCGAGACAAAGTTCTTTGTCCAAAGCTCCTATGCAACCACACAATTTCCCATATGCTGAGGTTGAGTCAGATATGCTTCCCTGTCCACAAAAGAATAACTGACCTCTGTACATTCACTACCCTGAAAGTTCTTTCACTGATATGTTAGTATACTACTTTTTGTTCTTTTATTAGTTAATTATGAGTCTATTATGTACTGAATTAACTAGCCAGATTCAAGCATCCTTTTACATTATTCAAGAAAAGAAATTGGATCCTCACACAGATTACAATCCTGTAGACCCGATGGCTAGACTAGGCATTTTCACTTTTTGCCCTCATATGAAGGAACACAGATGAAGTCATTAGCTGCTCACCATGCCTTTACTTTGGTAAGGAATATTTCTGTGCTGCATCCCAGTGAAGAGAGGAAAACTATTTTCTCACAACCCTAGTATATCTGGATGGGATGAAGTTCTCTTCCTCTTAGGGACCCACTAAACTCACCCTTGAAAAAGACTACCCTTGCCCCCTCTCTAACACTGAGACCTCTCAGTACTTCTGCCTACTTCCATTCAGATCACCCCTGATTGATACAATTGTGCCCCAAATGTGAGGAAGATGTATTTTGACCATTTCATTCTTTGCCTAGGTCTTCTGTTCAGGAGCCTAGGAATGCCCCCCTCCTTTATTTTTTCAGGGGCAGCAAGTAGAGAGCAGGAACTGAATTGGGCTGCAGTTTCTTCTGAATTAGTCTTGCCCATGACAGTTTCTCAACAGAAGGTCATTAATCAAAACTTAAATATCATCACCTCACATTTCCCCTCTTATCTACATCTGATCTCTCCAAAACCCAACATGTTACACTTCGATGTTCCCACATGCAACTGTTCAGTGTTTACCTGGAAATGGGAAAGCTTTGATGTCACCACCAGCCCCAAGGACCACAGAAATCTTCACCAGTTGCGTTCCCATTTCTGAAACAAATGCCAAAATCGCCCTGTCTAGTTTTTAAAGTCCACAGACTCCACTTATTTTAAAAAACTGCTCTTCTCACTTTCCCTGCCTCCAGTATCTGCATGCCCTTGCATTTCTTAGTATTAACGAACTACAAATTAACTAATGGTTAACTTGCTAATCCTTTCCAAAACTATCATTCTACTGTCAAGTTTAACTGACCTCTTCATAATGTGCAGCATGCTGTATGATCACCTGGATTCTTCCAAAGGTGTGTCTGTCTCTGAACTATTGCAAAAACACAGAAATGACTTTTGTGCTCCCACAGCTATCTTGGTTGACTTGAGTGGGCACATCTAAGCAGACTCTAAAGAGACAACCACTTGCCAGGAAAGGGTACAATGGCTGCCAGTTCATTCTAACACATGGCCATACAAGCATTTGATGGAAAGACGAAAAAAGAATAGTCTTGTTACTAACTTTCCTTACATTCAAGTAACAGAGACAAAGAGAATTACAAGTTGATTATTCAAAAAGTGTAGATTTGCTACTGGTAAACCTGGAAAGTTTGGAGTTGGGGAAGGGAGAGGGGTGGAGTCTAATACCACAGAAGCCTCTCTGAGTTAAGAAGAATTGGTCTCTGATATGGAAAACTATCCTCCTTGAAAGCTTTAGAAGACATGCAAATAGAGAGTAAGAGTATTTATTGTCAGGGGTGGTGGTGGAAGGAATCATCTGTCCTCTTAGCCAAACCAGTTAGCCCTGGTAGTCAATGTGTAAAATGTATTTGTTTTACATGCTAGGTACTATAACTTGCAGTTAAGTTACCCTTACATTGGATGGTAAGCTCCTAATGGATAGGATTTCTAGTGCTTCTTTTGTACTGGTCAGAACCTAGTACACTGCAGACCCTTAATGACTGATTTCAAATGACCTATTGAGAAATATTTATCATCAGAGTTTAAGTAATCTAAAATATTTAAATATCCCCTTCAATTTTAAAGTTATATAGAGAATTAAATAGAAGAGATCCCCACAGCAGGTAAGAATGGGGAAGGGCTTTAGATGGGCATTAGGAGGTAGAGAAGAAGGTAAGGGTAAAATGATCAGTTGATTCTTTGGTATTCCTGTTTTCTATTATAAACTTTGTTCCATGGCCATGGTTGAACAAATACAAAAACAGTTAAAGATACCAAAAGAAGAAGATTCCCTGACACTTATTTATATGAGCCCTTTAGAAGTGCTCTCCTAGTGTATAATTTAAAAAATAGATTTAGGTGACAGGTGGAGGCAGGGTGGTAATTAAGACAAAAATACTCTAAGGCATGTCACAAAATACTAGCCAGGGAATTGTTGAGAAAACAATCATTTGGATGCCAAAGTCTTTACCTTAAACTCCCTCCCTCAAATTTGAGAATTTAAAAGAAAAAGCATCATCTACATTCCCTACTCCTAAACTGCCTTACAAGATTCTTTTCCTTACTGCCACACCCTTAACTTACCCATCCAAGAATACTTGTTTACCCAAGTGCAAAATTAATATATGAAAGATGGAAGTACTATTTACCTTAGCCTTTACAATAATCTAGGCTTAGGTTCTTTACAGTTTCCATATAGAATCTTCTAAAAGGGATAGTTACCTTCCATCCCGCTCAACAGCAGGGGGAATAAGTGTCCCACCCAGCATCACCCATCCATATTAGGTCTGTTCCTAGCTTTTAGAAATTGTTACTTAAAATGTGTAAAGTCACTTAATATTTTTAAACTCTTAAGATATGTAAACCTTATTCTGATAAATTCTTGACACTGCTCATGGCTACGTAACCTGGCATCTGTCTAGGACAAATGTGCCTGAGATGGGAATAATCAAAGGGTCATTCATTCCCTCAAATATCGTGGGCATTTTTCAGGACTTTTTTTTTAAATGATGTCAGCTTGACTCCCCTTTGAATCCTGTGGGTGTGAGCATTCGGCCCTCCCAGCCTCAGAGGGAAGAGAACCCTTTCTCAGGTTTTCTGTTGCATCTGGCTCCATGCCTAGCTTCATCCCGAAGCAGCATTCTGGGTGTGTGGGGCCACCAGCCAAACAAGCCCCTATGGAACAAAAAGTGTGTCAGTGTAGACAGGAATGAGCCTCTAAAGGTTTGTAGAGGAGGAAGGCAGTGAGCCCCAAACATGACACAAGTGGCCCATTTGGACCTAACAGGTCCAGCTCTGGAGTGTTTCTAGAACCCAACATTTGCCACTGCTGCCATAAGTGTCTAAAATAGTGCATGCAAAGAAGAATGGTGTATTCTCACTTGAGGTAAAAGACCCTGGCCCTTTTGTGCTATGTTTAGGCCTCTTCCCTTTCTCTCTATAGTATCATACTGAGGTATAATAGACTTTCCATGGTCCTTGGATAAAAACACTCAGGAAAAGCTATTTAAGCTGCTTCTTTATCTCTTGTCAGGTCCCCAAGGTTTTTATTGTGGCCCTATGCCAAATCTGGCAAGCCAAAGGTAAAATAATCTCAGTGGCCTTACCTTTACTTCCACTTAGATAAAACTTTAGATTTTAGGTACAAAAGATAATGCCACTACTGTCGACAACAGTATGACTGGTGCAGAAAGGACAACAGGACTAAAGGAATCCCCTGTCCATTTAAAGAAGAATCTCAAAAAGAAGACTTAAAGAAATTAACCAGCATGAATTGGAGGAGCCACACAGTAAGTCTTCTGCATTATATCAGGAGGTTATACAAAGATAAAATATGGTCTCCCTGCATAGTGGATCTTTTTTTTCTTTTGTGCTTGTACTGGGGTTTGAACTAAAGGCCTGAGTGATATCCCTGAGCTTTTTTTTTTGCTCAAGGTTAGCACTCTACCACTTGAGCCATAACTCCACTTCCAGCTTTTTGGTGGTTAATTGGAATCTCACAGACTTTCCTGCCTGAGCTGGCTTTGAACTGTGATCCTCAGATCTCAGTCTCCTGAGTAGCTAGGATACAGATATAAGCCAATGATGCCTGGCTGCCTGGTGAATCCTTAAAATTAAAGGCCCAAGTTTACATCCATTTCTTTCTTCAGGTGATAAAAAGATATGACTACTCAGTCTGAGCAACAAAATGAACCAACAGATAAAGCAAATCTCCACATTAGAAATGACGTGAGCAGTCTCCCAGGGACATGTGAGAATCCTTTTCACAGTACTTTTCCCAGAGTTACCTAGGTTTTATTTCAAGGATCTCACGCTCATGAGATCACCAGTTCTAGTTCTAGGCAGGTGCATTCTTGGAGAGCTCATCCTCTGACTCAGTGCTGTTACGCTCTCTGGATACAGTGAAGACATACCTATGCCTTTTAGCCTCATACAACGAGCAGAACATTTTTTTACATGTCTAATAAACAGAATTTGTAAAGGAACAAGTGGCAGATGGTTTTCTAACAGCCAGTACCCAGGCATTATAAATGGAAGTAGAATACTACAGTTAAAAAAACGGTACGGTTCAAGTAGTGTCCTTAAGAGTTTGGGGTCCTTAGGATTTCAGAACCTTAATCCTCAAGTTCAAGCTGGAAAGTTCTCTGCTTCTAAGTTCTCCCATCCACCCCTGTCAACCCTAACAGAAATAGTCACTAGGCCAAGAAAGATCTAAGTCCATGAGCTCAGAGAGAGATAAACAATTCTTAATTCCCTAATCTCTGAAGAAAGCAGCTGAGGATCCAGCAACAGTCATCAATGCCCTGGATTGCACTATAAGTAGATTTGAATAGTGGTTAACTACACAATTCTAGTAATATCTAGTAACAGGCGAGGACCAACAATCAGAGACCTACTAATCTTAGTAGTATCCTCCTCATTTGAGAGGAATTAGACAAGTCACAAAAGAAAACAAAACAAAACAAAAAACCACACCACATTTTAGGACTCCTTCCTTTTCTTCTATCCAATATCATTATCTAAATCAGCCAATAATCTCTACTCTCAAGGACAAAGTGATTTTCCAGCAAGTCTCCAAAAGCAGCAGTAACTCCTTTATTTTTCCACCTACTAGAATATGAAGGCTTGGTATTTAAAACTGACTGCAAGAACTTCTACCAAGAGAAATTAATAAGCAGAGCAAGCTCCCCAAGGAAAAGGGATGTAGGCCGAAGGACAATGGCAACAGAGTCATTCAGGCAGTCAATAGCTGGACTGCTTGATCCCTCAGTGGTCAAACATTAATGCTCATTTCTCTCTTACATTTATGCTAGAGTTTGGCTCTGCCTCCCAGCACTGTAACACAGTGCTGGCCAAAACACCTGGTGGCTGATGTTTCATGCAACAACAAAGACTTAGGAAATCCACAGGAGGAAATGCCTTGGTCTTGTCACCTATGTAGGATGGACACTCTATTAATGCAATTTAAAAACAAAACAAAACAAAACTAGGGCCCAAGCCAAATCCATTCATCCAAGGAATACACTAGCAGAAGTCCCAATAAACATATATTAGCACTCAGGGTAACTAAAGGCCCATGAAGGAGTTAGTGCTGAAATGGCCTTACAAAACTTCCCACAGGTGGAGATTCCAGTAGAGCATCCCTCTCCACCCAGCTCCCTTTGGGGATCTCCTCTGCTCATGCCTCTCATGACTTTGGGAACAAGGAGGGAAGGATAAAAGATAGATGTGCCAGGGCAAAGAGCTGAGTTTGCTTCTCCTATGGGAGATTACAAGGAAAAATATCTTAATATCACCGCAGGAACTGTGGCCACTGGGTGCAGGCATTGAACTTGAAGCAGTTGTGTGAGAACCAAACTATTTGGTAATCATTACTGTTAAAACCCTCAAGACTTAGCCCAAAGGGAAACGAGTTACAATGCCGTCTTGTCTAAGGGCTACTCACTTCTTTTTAAAGAGCTTGCGGAAGGAGCTGCGAAAGCCCCCTTTCTGGTCTTGCCTGGGGTTTTGATCGCTGAAAGATGTTTGTTCACTTTCTCTTTCTTCCCTCGGACAGAATCGGGTGGTATCTTCTAAATGCATCTCCTGAAAACACAAAAAGGGGCAGTTTTTTACTCTTTTCTAAAAATGTCTAATCCTGGCTGTGGGACAGATTTTTCCTCTTTCTCTTTCTCCCTTCCTTCTTTCCTTCCTTTCCTTCTTCCCTCCTTCATTTCTGTTTTCTTTCTTTTTTGTCACTTTCCCATCCTACCCTAAGAAAATACCAGTGAACACCATATCCCAACTAAAGCAAGAAGAAATCAGCGGATGGAAAGAAATTTCGAATATGGTATTTTTTGCACATTAAAACTAACAGTCTAGCATAGAGTATAATGATAATTAAAGATAAGGAAATAGTTCAACTAACTATAAAACTACAGAAAATAAATTCTTATCTGGCATCAGCACTGCCTTGCTGGAAACCCAGTCCTAAGCCTTCATATCCTTGGCTATGTTTCTCTTTCTATATAATAAGAAACTTTGTTTACTGTAATACTAGGAATTTTGTTTGTGTTTTGGTTACACTTTGGAGGGAAACAAGTAGACCAATAGGATGTTATTACCACATTGTAATATCAGTTCCAAACTTGTATTTCTCTCTATTTTAGTCATAAAGGAAAGGAGTTTTTGAAAGGTCTGACCTGTAAATATGTCTTTAATCTATTTCTTAATTCATAATCCAGATTTTGAGTGTAAAGTGAATTAAAAAGAAGGCTGTATCTTTTTTTTTTTTTTTGTCAGTCGTGGGTCTTGACTCTGGGGCCTGGGCACTGTCCCTGAGTTCTTCAGCTCAAGGCTAATGCTCTACTACTTGAGCCACAGTGCCACTTCCAGATTCCAGGTGGTTAATTGGAGATAAGGGTCTCACAGACTTTCCTGCCCGGGTTGGCTTTGAACTTCGGTCCTCAGATCTCAGCCTCATGAGTAGCTAGGATTACAGGCATAGATCACCAAGGACTAGTAAGGCTGCATCTTTGTGAACTTACTAGTTTCCTTTAAATGTGAGATGTGCTCATAGATGTGTGTACATGCTAGATATTGATATCATGAACAAACTATTTACCTTGAGGTGATTTGAAAGCAATCTAAAATTATCTGCTTAATCCTGATTAACTTTGAGTACCAAAGAAGCCAAAGTGCAACATGCATGCGTGTACATAGACACAGACACAGAAAAAACTCATAAAATGATGGATGACTGCTTGGTGACAGAGAAGCAAAGCTTCTGAGTGGTTTGTTGGAGATAAGAGTCTCATGGAGTTTCCTGCCTGGGCTGGCTTTGAACCGTGACCCTCAGATCTCAGCTTCCTGAGTAGCTAGGATTACAGGCGTGAGCCATCAACACCCAGCTATTTTTTTATGCTAATGCCAGAGGGCTGAGCTTGCTCAGCTTACTTCCAATTGAGCATTTTGCTGTTTATTTTAATAATGGAATCTTCAGGATTTTTCTGCCTAGACCGGCTTTAAACCAAGATCCTCCAGGTCTCAGCCTCCTGAGTAGCTAGGTTTATAAGCATGAGCTACCAGCACCCAGATTTCTGGGTGCTGAGGGTCTTTTGTTATTGTTGGCTCTGTGTGTGTGTATGTGTTTTGGGCCCACTGGGGGCTTGACCTCAGGGGACTGAGTGCTGTCCCTGAGATTTTTCTCAAGGCTAGGCACTCTATCCCTTAAGCCACAGGGCCACTTTTCTAGCTTTTTCTTAATAGTTTATTATTGTAGATAAGTCTCATAGACTTTCCTGCCCGGCTGACTTGGAACTGCAATCCTAAGATCTTAGCCTCCTGAATAGCTAGGACTATAGGCGTGAGCCATCGGTACCCAGATCTTTAATAAGTTTTCAAATTTTGACAAGTCTAAGATTGATTTTGACTGATTTTTTCCAAGTATTCTGCCTAGTAGAATTTTATGAAGTCTGGAGTTGAAAAAAATCATAGCTAAAAGAAAATGCAAGAACCCTAAAGCACTTCAGCAACTTTACCTGAGCACATAACTGGGTAGCTTTGGCCCGCTGCTAGTAACAGATACAGTAGGTGACTCAGTGTGTCCATGTGGGCAGCACAGCTCTTCTCTTTGTCCCCTGGCCTATTTTCTACCTTTCTCACCTGAAATACTGTGTTGAAGGAAAAACATTCTTTGCTGATTTATTTCTAGAAATTACTTTTCATGCTCCATTCCCTCATTCCTTCCCCTCAGTAACTCCTTAAAGTAACTTTTAAAGTATAAGTCTGATATTCGGTATATCTAGGCCTTCTCTGACCACCACCCCAAGAGATTTTATTTAGTGCTAGTAGTGGTGCTTGAACTCAGGGCCTCACTTTCTCACGGCTTTTTCATTCAAGACTGGTACTCTACCACTAGAGCTACACCTGCACTTCTAGCTTTTTGCTGGTTAATTGGAGAGAAGAGTCTCATGGACTTTTTGACCAGGATGGTTTCAAACTGCAATCTTCCCATCTCAGTCTTTTAAGTGTAGGGTAGTATGAGCCACTGCAGCTGGCTGGCCAAGAGGTTTTAGATACTCCTTCAATGGGCTCCCACAGTTATTTACAATTCCATGTTGTCTATTTCTAAATCTTCAGCAATCAGCACAGAGCCTGATACAAGGTGGGCAGTGCTTGCTAGAAAAATTAATGAAGGGAGTTAGTGATCTGTTCCCATTCACTTCATCATGAGTGGAACAGAAGGGTGGTGGCAAAAATTAAGAACTACTTTGTGTGTGTGTGTTGGGATGGGGTATTGTCCTGGACTTGAACTGGGATTCTCAAATCTCAGCCTCCTAAGTAGCTAGCCATGAGCCACTGGCACCTGGTGAGAGCTACTTTGTAAAATTTTCTCTGCATCAGAAATTGCCTTTCTTTTCAATTTATGTTAGAACCTAAATATTTACTCAGGGAACTATTGTCCCTTTCACTACACAATCTGGGATACATAATTTTGGGGCATTCTAAATGTCCCAAAGCTTGCAGAAAGCAAGATACATTAAAGCTAAAGATGTTTTTCAGAACCAATGTAGTTACCAGAGCTTGAACTCAAGTCTTCAAGCCTACTCAGCTTTTCCCACTCATCTGAGGTCCTACTATTTAAGCCAGCTTCTAGCAAGTGGAAATGTATTTGCTCTGCAGCAAACTTGGCAGCCTACATGGGGACTGGGTGACTTGCCTTGCCCCTAGCTACCAACAAGGACAGTGGGCGGAAGGTGACACACAGCGGTCGACATTTTTTTTTCACATTTAAACAAGGAGGTGCACCTTGCACAAAGCGGGGGGGGGGGAGGGGGGAATAGGTTAAGCCTCGCATTCGCCATGTGGGCGCTTTGGGAAGGTACAACGCTGAGACACCACCAGCTCATACGGGAAGAGACCACCCCTAATGTGTGTGTGTGTGTGTGTGTGCGCGTGCGCGCGCGCGCCCCTAACATGTGTGTGTGTGTGCGCGCGCGCCCCTAACACGTGTGTGTGTGTGTGTGTGTGCGTGCGTGCGCGCGCGCGCGCGTGCGCGTTGGGCCTAACCAGAGTCGAGGCCTTCTCTGCTCTCTCTGCCCACGTGTGATGTGCCCTGCTCTATGTCCTGCTACCTGCCCCTGGCACTGGCAGGCCATCGAGGCACGAGCCGTGGGGGGACTTCCGGCTCCACCACGGCTCGCCCCCACCCCCCCCGCACCCCCCCTGGCCTCGGCCGCTCCCTCGGTGCTGAGAGACCCTCGGGCTGCCCTGAGATCTAGGCCCGGGGCCGTCGGCGCTGTGGGCTTCGTGTCGGTCGGTTTTACTTTACCCTCCTTACTTCCAAATAGGTCTGTTTTTCGCTTTGGGACCGCTGTTGGGGGAAGAAGGTCCGCGGCGCGCCGCGGGCGGAGGCGGCGGCGGCG